GGAAAGGAAAGGAAAGGAAAGGAAAGGAAAGGAAAGGAAAGGAAAGGGACCATAGAGAACAGAAATCAGGATATTTATTCTTTTGAATAAATATCTTGCTTAATACCTCTAACAACCAAACATCCCAGAAATTATAGCCATAAATCTGAAGTATGCATAAAATATTAAACCATAAATTCTCTTTCCCTCCACTAATTTACTGTCAGTCAATAAATGTGCAATTAAATGCTAGTATTTTCCAAAAAAACAGTCTTGAAAAGACAGGCAGGGAAAGAAGTGACAGTTGGATAGAGACTGTGTCTTCCTGGAGAGTATTCCTAGACTTTGGAATGTGAAGAACTTTGCAAGCTCCTTCTTTAATTCCTTCTGGCCTCAAAATTCAGAGCTGGCTTTATTAATATTTCTATTTAACATAATTTAAACCAGTATTGCTTTGCTTCAAGAAAAAAAGAAGGAAGAGGAAGAATTTGTCATTGTTAGGGTCCTGTTTACGTTTGTAGCAAAAGCCCCCCCCCCAGTCTTTCATTACCTTCCCTTTCTCTAGGGAGCGGTGTGGGTGTGTTTACATTTGCAAAAATAAAAGGGGGAGGGGACAGAATTTATGGCCTCAGATATCTGTAGCTGATTAGAAAACTTCCCCTTGAAATATTTATTTAGATTAGAGAGTGGGCTGTATTCTCCTCCTCTGGTGGATTTGCCCCAACACACTAATTGAAATGAAGACAGCTAATCTCATTTTAATTTCAATCCAGGGCCATAAATTGCCCCTTAAATGTAGAATATTCCTGCTGATGTGTAAACAAAGCTGAGGCTCCTTCATCCTGCTATTGGTTTGTTCTTTAAAAATTCAAGTTAGAGCTAGGAAACCTGAGCCTGATTTCTGTGGCTTTTGTTTAGCTGCATTAAAGGGATGATGATGATAATAATAATAATAATAATAGTGATAGTGATAGTGATAGTGATAATAATATATGGAAGGGTCCATGGAAGGAAACCAGACCCACCTCCGGTTGAATATATATTTGCTTCCCTGCCCCTGGGAAGCCAGTACTTTGAACATCCCTTGTTGGGATGAAGTAACTCTCCTTGGTGGGCTGAGAAAGAAGCAAATCCCTCCTCCTGTGATCACCCCTGGGCTACAACAGGAACCCGGATGCCAACGGATGCCAAAAGCGTTTATGATCTTTTTCCTCTGTGCAACAAAGCAAAGTAATCAGAGGCAGTAGTAAAGCCATAAACCGGACCACAACAGACAAAAAGAAGAAAAGAAGAAGAAAAGAAGAAGAAA